AATATGGAAAAACGCATATTTTTTTTTTCCATTCAATTAAATATTCGATATTGTGTACGTTCGTTACTGTGCTCGTTTAAGTCTTTTTTTTTTTTTTTTTGCTCTCGATCGCTGAGCCAAACGCCTGCACTTTCACGAAATCCCCGGGGATAAGGCTTTTCATTTTTCACGAAAAGTCGAAAAAGCCGGAGTTTCTAAATTCTCTGTACGAAAATAATGAAATCATGCCGCGCTGCGTGGGATAAGATCGGTCGCGTAGATGGTAAGGAAAAAAAAAGCTATTGAAAGTACTGGGACGTAACCTGCGGTCGTGTTTGCTTACGACCAATGAATAATAATAGTTGGCAAATTATAGAAGGAAATACTAATGCAATAATACCATACCGTCCGTTCGCTCACCATAATAACAACACACGTTCGAAAATAATTTTAACCAGCCACTTTATCGTTACTCTAATTATGAATTACCACTAATGCTATTTTATTTTTATTCTTTATATCGTGAATTAAAATTTTTAATCGACATTTAAATGCAGCGCTTGTAATTTTAATATACCTACACACGTACGTACGCACACGCACGCACACACAATGTTTTAAAAGTTTCATAAAAGTCTAATAAAGAAAGATTAATGAATAGGTATAAATTATCAATAAAGTTTTCATCGTGTTTCTTTTCCTTATACATATATATATATATATATATATATATATATATATATATGATCATGACATGATCATATAGATCATGGATAATGTTATATTAACGGAATAAATCTTCAAGTATAATAATCCAAACAATTAACATAAATTTCAAAACTTTAAAAAGACTCGAACGATGGATACGAAATCTTATTTTTAATTATTTTTTAAAGGCATTTTTCTCCCTTTTAATAAAACTCTCGACAAACCTTCCCCAATTAAAATGTACAATTCGCGCATAGAAAATCTAAAGCAATTAAAAAATTTACTACGTGTAAGCATTTTATAATAATTCGTATAATTAAAATTAGCATTAAACTACATGTATTAAGATACGGAGGTATTATTAACGCATGGTAAGTTATATTATTCTTCTTCTTCTTCTTCTTCTTCTTCTTCTTCTTATTATTATTATTATAATTATTATTATTATTATTATGAGTGTTATATATTATTTTTAAAAATTATTCTCCATGCTCACTGGCCAAACTATTAATGTACGTGAGATTTATTGAACAGATAAGAAATTGTATGCTGTCCTGTGCACATGGTCGTTTTCAATACCTCTGTGTATTATAAATATACAATTACGGTAAGTCGTGGTGCGCATTGTCCGTGATCCATCATCCATGACCTAACACAGGTAGAAAATATGAAGCTCGATATGACTAATAGATATTTATTCATGTAAAAATGTTGTAATCGAGCGTTAATTCGCTGTACAATCCAAATCTGTGATCTCGTAATTATTGTTGTTTATTATTCATAACACTTTATTTTAATATCGATGGGGGAAAAGAGTTTTGTATGATTACACGCGTGCAATAGAAAGTTAAAGCTCTTTCAATAAAATTATAATATTTCACTAGATTTCTCCAATCTACTTTACAACCCCAAGAAATATATTAAATAGTAAAATAATTATGAAAGCTAATTTATCTATAAAAAAATCTAGACTAAGCTGTGTTAAGTGAAAATACTAGAAAATAGATAAGTGTTATATTTTAACGGGACCGTTAAAATTAACTGAAAGTAAATTTTCTCCTACTCAAAGTTACAATTATAGTTAAATTTTTCAACAATTACCTAAATATCTATGTATACTAATTGCTCGTTACACTACTATAAATATAAAAAATATATTAAGAAGTTGATTTTATTTTTGTTCATTTTTATATGTGCATGTAATCTTTGTAAAGTAAAATAGGAAATAATTTGCCAAAAAGGACTCGATTACACTTTTACAACAATAAGGCATCGATTGAGCGGTGTATATGTTTCTTAACCGTTAAAAAATTGACAAACAAAAAAAAAAATATTACAGCACTGTGAATAATACATTTATTCTTTGTTTTTTTTTTTTAGAGCTGATATATTACATATTTCATTATATGTAATACAGAACAAAATTCTTACAATTTTCAAATTGAATGTTTCAAAACTAAAAATCAGGAATATATGTATGGACAAATCAAAAGTCGAGGTTGCAAAATGTAATAAACAACGTACCACAATTCAATAATGTATTATTGATGTTTTATTGAAACAACTGTCTTAATGACAATATCATCACTGCCTGTCGTTCGTATTTCTACAGTGCCGTACGTTACATGCATTCCAGTGATAATAACAATAATAATAATCATCATCATCATCATC